CAGAAATAATCACGCCGTAAGACTCAGCCTATAATAATAAGGAAGGAAAGAGAAAATGAAATAAAAAGAGGGAGGACAAAAAGGGACCAGGCCGAAAATAACAAGAAATAAGAGACAGAAAAAGGCACACGGTGGAGAGACCACTAGACTAAGGACAAGCAAACACGCAAACATGGCCACCAACCAGCGATGCATTGTAATGGTACGTCATCACTAGTGGGGGGTTGGTGCAATGGTGCAGCGTTGGGGGGGGGGGATATCGGGTAAAAGAAATTCAATCCGGCACGTATCGCGCCACTCGGTCCGTCCCTTCTCGTTTGATTTCTTCCCTCGCCGTCTCGTCCGTCTCCTGCCGCCCTCCCGCCCCATTGGTTGGTGGCTTGTGGTTTCGTTTGAGCGCCCGTTGTCGGCTGGCCTCTTCTTCCTTCTCGTGCCAGGAGGTCATGAACCTCTCAGCTCCCTGCAGCACCGCCGCATGCCAGGGTACTCCCCCCTCCACCTTCGCGGCTTCCGTCCTCTTTAACGTCGGTGCCGTGTCTTTCGGTACCGGGATTTCGAAACAACATGGATCGGTTTTCGTAGATCCGTGGTCGGCCCCGAATGCCTTCAGGTCGTCGAGCACACACTTCGGCCAGTTCTGTTCCTGTTCCTTGTAGCCCCTCGAACAATGGCTGACAAAACATGTTTTCGGCATTCTTTTTTTGCGGAGGGACTGGGTACTTCGAGGGTTAAACACAAGGTTGCTCCCCACCTGACACACAACACAACAATCCGCACAACAATCCGTTCTCCTCAGCTACTCCACCAGAGGTTGAACCGGTGTGTAACCACACCACATATCCCCAAGGGAACTTGCTCACACGTGAACCTGGAGACAACCGTCTCATATCTCTCCGAATGGTAACAACGTAGACCTGGTGATGTCCTTGTCGCGCATGTTGCGCATGTCGCGCATGTGAAGGTATCATGCGCGTGTAAAATAAAAATTCTCAGATACCACCAGTCTTTTCCACGCCACGATTTCGAAACCTGTCGTTTGCTTGAAGACGTGCAAAAGCGCAAAGCAGCTTGTGACTTGCTGGCTTGACTTGGTCATTGTAGACCAGGAGTACTTACACGCATAGCAGGACCTGGTGAAGGTCTGTGTGACATGAAACTTGCTGCGTAAGCGCCACCCTCCTCCGAAAGGAACACGACCAACTGCTGAGAGTAAGGGGTGTTGACGGGTACAGAATGCTGCTCTTGGTTGATAGTCCTGTGACGATGTATGTCTGCGTGTGACGATGTAGTGTCTGTGTTGCATTGAGTGCGCGCGTGCACGGGCACCTCAACATCACTCTGGAACAGAACAGCAGTTTATGCCGCACAACAAAACTGTTCCACCCCAATCCCCAAGTATACTGCGGAGCCCCCTTTGATGATGTTTCGCTGCAGAACACTGGGCAGTGGGCTAGCTGCAGGAGCCGTAGGACGGGTTGCCCGCGTCTGTCTGAAACCGGTCAAGCAGGCCTTCTCTCTCTCTCTCTCTCTCTCTCTCTCTCTCTCTCTCTCTCTCTCTCTC